TCTCTTTCTTTCTTTCTTTCTTTCTTTCTTTCTTTCTTTCTTTCTTTCTTTCTTTCTTTCTTTCTTTCTTTCTTTCTTTCTTTCTTTCTTTCTTTCTTTCTTTCTTTCTTTTTTGTATACCACCATCTTGGAAACCTTTTGTTTAGAACTAATTAGTATAAATGCATTTTATATGTTTTTTAACTTGTTTTAACTGATGTAAGCCACCCCGAGTAGACGTTGTCTAGAGGGGCGGGGTAAAAATCGAATAAATAAATAAATAAACAAACAAACAAACAAACAAACATGGGGTATGCTCTAAGACCAAAAACCTATGATGTTTCTTCCTTGGGGGTGGGGGGTAGGCATCTTTGATTATTGTACATATTTGAATACTGAAGGCATTCCAATAGTTTCACTGTGTAACTCTGCCGTGTAAGCATTTCGGATCTTGGCTGTAAGACTGTCCCTTCTGCATCTAGGTGTACCAGCAGTGCAAAGAATTCCAAACCAGCTTCTAGGTTTCACTGTCTTATTCCCATTGCACCTGTACTTTTCTGCCCCAGACATATTTGCCAAACACATTATTTACCAAGGCCAAGCATCCTGAGTAATTCTCTTCAGAAAGGATGTTCAGAGGGGCGGGGAGAGCATGGGGATGATGTCATAAAAGTTAGATTTAGCTGGATGTGACCTTCAGTAAATGCACTCCCAACACCAGAAATGAATTTATGTACGTCTGCTAGATGGAAAGAAAATGTAAGTAGGCAGAGAGAAGGGGGGGGGGGGGAAGGAAGGAAGGAAGGCTAGTGGAGGGGAGGGGGGCATGAATGTCAATCTGACAAAGCAGGCAATTACAGGAATGGCCCTGAAGTGGTATTTGCGGCTGTCCTGCCAAAGAGGAGTTCTTGTTTCCAAGTAGGTGAGTGTTTCGACAGAGTCTGGAGACACTGGAGTATTTTTAGAACACTAGGATAGCAAATTCAGCCTTTTATTTGAGCCAGACAATGCAGCCCAATAGAAGCTACTCAGAGGAGGCGGATAAAAATCCAGATTGAATACAGAGATAGCTCTTGGTAGGAGAGCTCAGATGATTCTTCCCAAGAGAGCCAGCTCCAAAAAAACAGAGTTTACTTTTGCAAACGCCGCAAGGGGATAAAGAATGCTTGCTAAGTTCGTTATTATCATCAGTTTGGGTAGTCTCTGTTGGAATTTTCAAGAGGCTTACTGTCCTTTAGGCAAACACCAGCAAAACAGCTGCTGATTTTTCTTGTCAAGATCTCCATAATGTGTGCAAACTGTCTCTGTGCAAAAAGAAAAAAAACTAGTCTTCCTTGAGAAGCAAAGCATGTGCGCAAGCATGCTCAGAAACATACACAGCAAGCACAGGAGGACTGGCTAGTTAATTAAAAAGACACCAAAGATCCCAAGGACGGTCCTTTGAAGTCCATGCAACAAAGCAGCAGGTGTTGTCATTTTGTGCAATATGGATTATTTGGATAAAAAGGTAAAGGTAAAGGTTCCCCTTGACATTTAGTCCAGTCGTGTCCGACTCTAGTGGGCGGTGCTCATCCCGTTTTCAAGCCGTAGAGCCAGCGTTTGTCCGTAGACAGTTCCAGTGTCACATGGCCAGCGTGACTAGGGAATGCCGTTTTACCGTCCCACTGAGGTGGTACCTATTTATCTACTCGCATTTGCATGCTTTTGAACTGCTAGGTTGAAGAGGAGCTGGGACAAAGCGACGGGAGCTCACTCCGTCGCGTGGATTTGATCTTACGACTGCTAGTCTTCTGACCCTGCAGCACAGGCTTCTGCAGTTTAGCCCACAGTGCCACCACATCCCTTACATTTGTGCAAATTTGTTTAGTTTGTGTGTGTGGGGGGAAACACCCTTTCTTGTTCATTCTCTTCACTTGGAACTGTCACAAAATGCTTTGCCTACCTATAGGGTTAGGAGAATAATCTGGCCACAACTTGGGCTTTGCATGTGTGATCAGATCCCATCGTTTCAAAGCAGGCAGCAGAAGGAAGAGGAGAAGCTGCTACCGCTGCCACTGCAGCTCCTGTTCTAAGCCACAGAGGACATGTGAGGCTCTATAATCACCCATGCAGTTGTGTAGATGCTATTTAGAGAAGGCGCATATCTGAGCCACTGGACCACACGCTGCCAGGTGAGTGAGTGGTCAGAGTAGTTTTGGGAAGCCAAAACCATGGGCACAGTGGTTGACATTGTGCAAACACGTCGAAAATGGAGGTGGAACAGTTGCATGCTAGGCTTACAGACAGACCAGCACCATTTAGAGGCTCCTGCGCTTAGGACTGCCAAGCAAGGATACCTCTTCACGCATGCATGAGAGTAAAAGACTGCAACAGCATATACATCTTGCATGAAAATATATGACAACTCAAGGTTGCTCACTGGGGCAGTGGCTTTCTTCGTGAGAGGCAGAGAACACAGTAAAGAGAGTGGGCTTCCAGTGGCTTTGGTCTGGGAGGTTAGTACAAGTCTGTGCATCAGTAGTTTGTATGGCTGCAATAACAGCAGCACCAAGGTGGGGGTGTGGGGGGTTAAGGTCTTCCTTCCTAGCTTGTTGACATGGGAGATTTCAGAATTTTTATTTCAACAAAGCAGCATGGATCCAGTCTCCACTTCATTGAGCCCTAACGCCTGCCTCCTCTGGCTGACAGCTGCTCTCAGAAAGACCTTGCTCAGATGTCCTTCCCAGCTCTGCTAATTAAAATCCATCCAACTCAGGGCTGGAGAAGGTGCCAGCCTCAGATGTTACTGGGACTGCAGCTCTCCTAAGCCCCTACTAGCCTAGTCAATGGTGAAGGATAACGGGTGCAGCAGTTCATCAGCCTCTGGAAGGCCACAGTGGACCTGACCTTGATTTAACTGGAAATGTCAGGAAGCGAACCTGGGGAGCTTTCTGAATGCAGAGTTCGCCCTCGGCTACTGCATTATGGATGCCCTGATGTAGAGAAGCAATGAGAGGATAGTGTTTGGAACAGGATAATACAGCAAAGAGGTCAGGCTGCAAAGAGGCAGAAGGCGGATCCCTGCCACAGTAAGTAACACCCTTTTGCTAGTTAATTCTCACCGTATAGGCTAGATTTTCAGATTTTTTTTACTTTTGCAAGCTAGCACATTTCACAGTCACTGACAATCAAAGGGATGGGGGAGGAGAAGTGTTTGCAGCTGCAGAGCCTTTTAGAAAAAGAATCACTTCCCCATCTTCTTCACAGCCATCATCCCAGAACCCCCACCTCTCAATTCTGACAGGCAAAACTGTTCTGCTAGGATTACGGCCTGAACTGGATTGACAGAAGCCACCTTCTACCGGGCAGTAAAAGCCTCTAATGTGCTTTAAAAGGCATGCTTGCACTGTCTAGGACCACACGCATTTAGACTAGTTTAATAACATGCAGCTTGCTAGCCATGAAGGGAGTGTCGCTCCTGGCAGCCCTGAAAACAGCCATCCTGATAGCTCCTGAATGAAAATTAGGGTTTTTTTGGGGGGGGGGAGGCCTACATGTCCTCTAGAATAATTTGGCCATATTTTCATCCCCCTCCATCCTCCCCCAAAGCCTGTTTTAGACCCAAGGTGAGTTTTTTTCCCCCAAATTGGAAGTGACTTTTGATCACACTGCCTTTCTGAAGCACAAACACCCCAAGAAATCCCAGGACATGGTGAGATCAATTTCCCCTTCCCCCCCCACCCCCGGGGGCAGAAGGAACAGTTTAAATCAATTTTCAAAAAATAGATATATATGTGAGGTTAATGGCTACAGAGGGCTCAGAAATGTTTGGGGAGCAGGGTCCACCCTGCAGGGTCTGAGGTGGGGGCAAGGAAGACTTTGGATCTTTGAATGTTTCAACCCCACTCCCCCACCCCAATTGTTCAAGAGACTGCAGTTTGTGGCAGTGCTATTATTTAATCACTCTGTGTAATAGCCACAGTACCCAATCTTCATTAAGAAGCAGAATATGACCATTAAACTATTTGTTGTCTATAAAGCAAGCATGCCAACGTAGGGCTAGTATTCACCAGCACAAGCGACACATCTGACCCACCTGAGTTCAAGAAAAGGCTTCACAACCCTTTAGCTAGTCTGCATCATCCAGTTATTCCTTAACCATTAAATGCTCTTCAGGACACCTGTGGATGACCAATCCCGCTCTGTGACATCAGAAAAGCTAAGCCAATGGAAACCAGAGAAATCAAGGACCACCAACTGCACTGTGAAAAGTCTGCATAGAAGCTGGAGGTCGAAGCAGAATTGGGGAAATGTGAAGAATCCAAAGGGAAAAAAGAGGTTTATGGCTTTAACCCCATAAAACCCTAGACAGCTGATGGCACTACATTAATAATAACAAATTTAAAAGCATTCAAACATGAACTATCATTGCAAAATACCTTGGACGAGACCACTTCTGAGTGGTCACCTGAAATGGTCTAGGACACAACTCCCATAGCTTAAAGGCTATGGAAAAAAAAGCACCAACATCAAGTGCTATGATGCTTTTGCATTAAAACCAAAGGCAATCATCTCCAATTAGAACCCCCAGAGAATCAAAACATACTGTTATTTAAGAACAACCGTTTCACCTTACCTCTGGACTCCAGGCTGACGAGCTGTCAGTGACGTCAATCCCTTCAAACCCTTGATTGCTAAAGGCCGTCTCCATTTCTAAACTCCCTTCTGTTTCCTGCCGGCTGAGGCTCGGCGTTGCACTGACCTCCATTCCCAGGTCTCTGGGTTGCCCAGACTCCCTGCTCTCTGACGCAGTCCTTGAGTCGAGGGATAGATGGTCATCTTCATGAAAAGAGAGATTATCTTGGTAACTCAGTTGGCTGAATCCATCCAAATCTAGCACGTTTGAAGAGAGAGAAAACATTTCGGGGAAGGATTAATTCCAGCTATTCCTTCTTCCTGAATATGCATGTTTTTGCACATACACTTTAATCCACTGCAGTTCAAGTTCTGGAAAGGATAACCACACATAAGAGACATCTGAAGCATTAAGCATGAAATAAAAATGTACTAAACAGAAACATCCCATTCTACCTGCACTGAGAGGAATAGCCCAAACTACTCCTTTTGTCAGAATCTGGAAGACCTCTTCACTCATTTATTATTTTCACCATAAACTTAATATTGTTATTGTGACATATATGAAAATTTGTGAGTAAAAGAGAAACATTTTTATTCTTTCTCAATACCAGAGCCTCTGTCTGAATCTACTGAGACTATTGCTCATTGAGGTAAAACTAACAAGGATAAGGCGTGGTATATCTGAGGGAGACCTGTAACTATTTAATAATCCACTCTGTAGGTCCCTATCTGGATTTTTTTCTCTCCACTATATAGCTGGAGGTTTTAAGCCAACAATTTACACACTCTGCCAATATAAAATCCTATTTCTCAAAGCTAGTCTGTTGCCAGCTTGGTGCCCTCTATGTGTCTAGACTACAGGTCCCACCATGGCCTATGGGAGGGTACCAACCTGAAGAAAGCTGCTCTAAATAACTATTGCATCATGAAACAACATCCCTCTACTAGATAAAATGTAGTAAAAATAAAGACATGAAAGAAAAGCATGAAGACAGCAAAAAACAAAACAGAACAGAACACCAAGAAATTATTGAAAGAGTTCTCTGTACAAAACTATGAAGTGATGTTGAGACACTTATGAACTTTTGTAAGGTTTTTCTAGAGCACTCAGTTTTACAAGCGACAAGTCCCTGTGAAGGCAATGCAAATTCTGAATAAAATAGTAGATTTGCTTAAATAGTTAAACACGCCAGAAAACCTTCAAGTGATGCGTACTGTAAAAAAATAAAACACGGAATGATATGCATAAAAGAAAACAAGACATATTAGAAACACAAAACTAGAAGGGGAAAAAACGAGGGATGCCAAGAAAGGGCTCTCTATGTAGCAGGGTTTTTAAGTGCCTTTAAAATGCGGAGAGGGAGGTGTAGCTCGGCCAGAAGTTGGTTCCAGACTACTGGCACCACAGCAAAGCAAGCCTTGTTTCTGGTGGACGATCTGCTGACCTCCTTTGGAGTGGCTACTTGGAGGAGCATTGCCTGAGTGGATCTCGTGGAGTGGGCAGATGACCTTGGGGAAAGACGTTCCGACAGGTAACGTGATGCAAACTGTGGAGGACACTGCCCTACCTAAAATTACTGTGAATCCTCTAGAACAATTCTGAGCATCCTTCTGCCATGCACAGGATTGTATGGGGTTGACCCTACTGAACTGTCACAGCAGGGTTTTTTTTTCCCTTCTTGCTATTAGCTGTTTATCAATAGTGTTTTGACAGAGAGAGGAACTACTGCAGCTAAACGCCTTAAATACAGAGATACTTCAGGGTTTGTTGAGACCACCCAGGCAGAACCTGTGCAACCCACAAGAAAATGTATGCGCCCATGGGAATCCTGGCTCCAGTCCTAGTTATACCTCTCACAGTGTCATGCATTCCTCGTTTGCGGTAGAGCTGGTGCATTTTTCACTAATTCTGCAATTTCTTCCAAAGTAAAAGAGACAGGTATCTCCCCTTCCCAGGCTGTATGAAACTCTCATAACAAACCACCTCTCCTTTTCTGTTCCACGCTGAATTGTACCTTCGCATTCAGAAGCCTCCGAACTGAACTCTTCATGATTCGACAGCAAGCGGTTGAATTTCGGTCTGCGTTCCAAACCTGCTTGGGTTCCTTTTTCGGAAACTCCGGAACGAAAACTCTGTGAACGTGAGACGGAGATCTCAAACTGCTTGATCACCTCATCGTCACTGTCAGAGGACGTTGTAAGTTCTTCATCCTCCCCGTAGCTGTTCACTGGGGGAAAAGATACATAAAAGGAGTGTTTGACCTCTCATGGAGGATAAACCATGTCTCAAGAAAGTCAAGGAATGGTTTTCGGAAGGAAAAACAGCAAGCCCGGCACAAACTGGGTCTTTCCCTTTCCATCTCTCCTGACGTTCTGTCTTCTTCTTGGTGGTCTCTTCATGGAAATCAACAAAAACAATTCCTTTCTTCCTCTCTTTTTCTCCTAATTTGTTATCTCAAATCCATCAACCCCCACCCGCCATTTCCATCCATGTACACATTTTTGTGGTCAAACGTTGTACTTCTTGCGATTCACTTGCTTTATTTTAAGCTATTGTGGAAGTGGCCTTCGAAAATCTTAGGCATTAAAACAGTTGACACCTTTCTGCCCACGCGGCCCTTATCCTGAAGGGAAAGAAAGAGGAAGTAGCAGAGAATGTTTAGTGTCTGAGTCGGGAGCCTAGTTTTCAGCCGAAATGAGAAATAAATAGTTAACAGTAAATTGAACACAAACTCAGGCTTGTTTCTTGCTTCTTGCAAGCCAGTCATGACAGACAGACAGGCAAGCAGGCGAGACAGACATGCAGGCTATTAAGTCTGGCATTTGTCATGGCCATATAAATATTGAAGTTCTCAAATAAGTTTTTAAAAGTGCAATAAGTTTTTTAAGGGTGCAATAAGCTTCTGGAGGAATAGTGGCGAATGACGGGTTCTTAATAATGTCACAAAATGTCAACTAATCTATAATCTATGTTACATCTCGTGATGATTACAAATAAGCAAAATTGTGTTTCCATCCTCTGCCCTGGTAAGAAATAAATATGCTTGAACACTATTCTTGAGTTTATTAACAATGACATGGTTAAAACAGCGGTGTAGTTATTTGTGTTTTTATATCTGCCAGTAAACAGAGCCATGTAATCAGTCCACTCCAATCGATTTTGAAAAGGGCTTGTGCCTTTGACCCGCATTGTTAACACACACAAAAAGCCATCTGACTGTTCACAACAATACTCCCTGAGTGTAGCAATCTAGCTAACAGGCCAAAGGTACAAGTGCTCTTGAAAAATCATCACTGAAGGAGTATTAGCTCCACATCTCTAGAGGCAGAGGCAGGAGAGACTGGCTGCCATACAGTTGGATTTATTTATTAATAAAAAACATTCACCCATCACTTCTCAACCCATTAGGGCACCAAAGACCAACAACAAAAAGAGAAACGTGTTCTCGAAAAACAGACAAAAGACAGTTCTTTGAAACCAATTTGTAAAGACACCATTCTTGAAGAACACTCTAAAAATCAGGTTTATAGATTTCCCCCCCCCCCAAAAAAAAGCTCACAAGAATAATACAGGCTCGGTTGCCCAAGAAACATGCAAGAGCAATGGAGCTAACCTGACTTCCAGTGGGACTGAGTTCCATAGTTGAGCTGATGCTATAGAGAAAGCCCAACCGCTTGCCCAACCTGCACTTGAGATACCAACAGGTTTTCCGGGCAGTCTTTCATATATTCTGCGCCCAAGGGGTTTGTTGTATATTGAATTGAGTGTGGAAGCAGACTGGAAAACAGCGCAACTGGTTCAAGAGATAGGATATCTAAAGTGTACACCAGACTAGCTGCCACATTTTACACCAGTTGTAACTTTCAAACATCTCAACAATAGTCTCATATTGAGCAGGTCTAATGTTTCATAAAAGAGCTCATTCTAGCTTTGCTGGCAATGGAAGGAAAGCACAGAACAGGATCTGTATGGCAGTCTTCTCTGACTCTGCAGCCATTCCGCATCTTGACCATCCCATCACCGCCACCAACTTGGATGCGAGGGATTGTCGTCCAAGATGCTTGAGAGAAGGTGGTGTAAGTAAATGACCTGGCTGGGCTCTCTTGTTGCCAGAATCTGACTCCTTACCTCCATCTGCCACCAAGCCACCTCTGCTAGCCAGGATTTCTGGGAGTTGAAGTCCAATAACATCTGGAGGCCCAAGGTTGGGGACCACTGGTGTAAATGACCTGGCTGGGCTCTCCTGTTGCCAGAATCTGACTCCTTACCTCCATCTGCCACCAAGAGAGCATGATTAGCTGATGGAAATGCAAAGCAAACAGCGCCACTCAGAAAACTCACCTAAAGATCAGGTAAATGTTAACCCAATAAAGTGGTTTTCATAGGCAAGGTTGTACCTTTTTTTTAAGTACTACCAAGACAGCATGATTAGCTGATGGGAATGCAAAGCAAACACGCCACTCAGAAAACTCACCTAAAGATCAGGTAAATGTTAACCCAAAAAAGCGGTTTCCATAGGCAAGGTTGTACCTTTTTTTAAGTACTTTTAAATGGTTTAAATAGTTCATTATTTAAAATTTTACACATTTAATTCTGTTTAATATTATGGTTTATAGTATTCTAATTGTGTTTCTCTTTTAAATATTTTATAAGCTGCTTTGAGTCCATTTATTGGGACAAAAGTGGAATAAAAATAAAATGAATGAAGAATGAATGAATGAATGAATGAATGAATGAATGAATGAATGAATGAATGATTATTTGAAGCATCACCATCCTACTGAGCACTAGGGACACATTGTTCCTTTAAAAAAACAAAGGAAAAAACACGGGGAAAAAAGGCTTTTACTTTTCCACTCTCTTTCATTAAAAGTGTCCTTCACCCAAATGGCCTAGGGAAAATTTTCTCGTCTCACCTGTGCCATCATCCCCTTCCTGGCCATGTTGAACCTGCTCTTTCCCCTCTTTTTCCTTTTCTTGCCACTGCCACTGGGTACTTTAAGGCTTTTATATTTTTTTTTACTAGTAGCCACGTGGGCGGGGAGGCGATGAAATGAAATGATGGAAATGAGGTGCCGCCTTTCATGATAAAGGAAAGTGAGGGTGTATGGGGGAAAAAAAATCAAAAGAAAAGAGGCAGCTTCTGAAAGAAACAAATACCAAACCAAAATGAAAGTTTCTGCCATGGGGATGCTTACTGAGCTCCTAGTTCAGGTAATCTGGGAAGTCAACACAACTGTAACAGAGACTGGCA